AGAGAGAGAGAGAGAGAGAGAGAGAGAGAGAGAGAGAGAGAGAGAGAGAGAGAGCACGGACCACCACGCAGGTAGAGCACCGACCACCGAGCAAACGCGCACTGACGCAACGCACCGACCACGGAGCACACGCACGCGCACGTTCAGAAAGTGGCGGGCGATTGGAGAAGTGGTCGGCAACAACAATGCGGGCGGGCGATTGGAGGGGTGGCCGACAACACAAACGGGCGGGCAGAGATTGGAGGAGTGCGCTGGCAACACAAAAACTGGCGGGCCGATGATCGAGCGATTCGGCGCTTCCAGTACCAACCGGCGACCGGGCGATTGGAGGGGTGGGCGGGGTGGGCCGGGATTAGAAAAATGGGCAGACGGGCGGGTGGGTGATTGGAGGGGTAGGCAGCCGAAAAAAAGAAAACGGGCGGGCTTCCGGTAGCAACCAGCAGAATCCGAAATCCGATATCGCACGGCCCGAATCGCAGGCCGCTCATCACTGTGGACGGGCCAGATCGCAGGCCGATCAGAAACTTTCTGATCGGCCTGCGATCCGCGCCGTCCACGGTAGTGACCGGCCTGCAATTCTGGCCGTGCAATATGACGTTTAGCAGTTATTGTAGTAGGTGTAGATGTCGATGATGGGACCTTGAGGACAACCAATGATTTAGGTGGCCTTAGGGTGATGGACACTATTTTGGGCCTTTGGCCAGTTTGTTCAGGCACGTGGATTTGTCTGTCTGTTTGTGGGTTTCCGTTTGTAGTTTTTTTCACTGTGATTTTCATTATTCTAATGTCTGTTTCGAAGTGCTCTCGCTCCAGGCACTGCCTGGTTCTGGGATATGCCTTTTTCTCTTTTTTTCTTTTTTTTGAAAACAGATCACTCATATATTGCAACTTGTGCCTATTTCAGCCCAGCCCCGAACGAAACCTGCTCCACTGCAGTTGCGTGTGAATCCCCGCTGGGCCTCAAAACGGCCAAAGGGTGGAAACTGGTACTCTGCTGGGCCTCAAAACAGCCAAGGTTGGACACTGGTGGTCTACTGGCCTGAAACAGGCTCGTCACTGTTTCAGGCCAGCAGAGTACCAGTTTCCACCCTTTGGCCGTTTTGAGGCCCAGCAGGCATTCATCCGCAGCTGCAATGAGGCAGATTTCGTTCGGGGCTGGGCTGTGTGAGGTTTTGTGCGTTTCTACTGGTCTGGATGTCCGATAGAGACCCAGGATGGCTACGATTAAGGCCAGAACTAGGAATTCGGGCTGCGTCTGGTACAATGGATCCTGCAATTCATCAGACAGCTGGGGATCCAGACCGGGGAAATCACCCAGTTGATCGAACCCAGGACGACTACGTTTAAGGCCAGAACCAGGACTTCGGGCTGCATCTGGTACAATGGATCCTGCGATTGATCAGACAGCTGTGGGTCCAGACCGGGGAAATCACCCAGTTGGTCGAGCGATGTATAGGTGGGCCAGCAGTCAGTCTTGGCATGCAGTGTTCCATGCACACCTCGACGATAGGCTACTACCAGTAGAGAGAAGCGCAGTAGAGGTCAGCATTAAGGACTTGTTTAAATCCTGAAGGAGTTAGGAGGTAGGCTGGCGAGGAGAGAGATCTTCAGCAGTGCAGACGGCATGGCAGTGCTTGCCTGGGTGTCATAGCTTGGGACTGCTACCAGCCTCTGGCTGGGCTTCAAGACGTCATCTTTTGCTAATCAATATTTTGTGACATGCGCGGCGCGCGGGCACGCGCGCGCGCACGAGAGAGAGAGAGTATGCGACCATTCAGGAAACCTTTGCCCCCAGGTTCACACTTGACATTGTGACTGGTGATGATTGCAGGACCCGGAGAGAGATTATTGTAATTTTGCAGTTACACATCGAATGGGCACTCACTTCTTCTTTTTCACCTCCATCATCCTTGGTTCTTTTCCCATGTGTGTGCACGCAACGAGGTGTCTTCCGTCCATGTATATCCCCCTCTGTGCATCCTGACATGATGATGATGTATGTGTGTGCTGAGTCATGAGTCTGATGAGTCAGATTGTTCTTTGTCAGTCTTCTGCTGTCTGACATTACTGTTTCAACTTTCATCTCACCTTGATCATTTCTTGGTCCTGCACCACGCGTAGATGACATAGCGGGAAATCCTTTCTTCAGGCCCCAGACAAATGGTCTTCTGTGCCTTCCCAATGATGTTTGACAGACACAACTCATCCGCAACCTCCGCAGAGAACAGTCCATGGGTCTCCAAAACTTTGACTCTCTCTCTCTCTCTCTCTCTCTCTCTCTCTCTCTCTCTCTCTCACACACACACACACACACACACACACACACACACACACACACACACACACACATGCAACATCACACGCCGTATGAGAAAAGCACCTGGACTGGGTGAAACGTTCATTCTCGCCAAAATTGAGCATTTCAAAAAGTCAAGAGTGCAACAGTCCTACCTTGGTGATTGTTCCAGGAGAGTGCCTACTGTCCCAAGCTGGACAGAAGGTCCAACTTCTGTGAGCGCCAGTGAAAGAAACAAGAATAGCTGTCCCTCTTGCAAAATCGTACTATACAGAACTGACTCTGCAGCCCACACTGGACCCGCAATTGCTGCCATGCATGTGGTGCCACCTGCAACACTCCATTTGTGACCTCGTGAACACTCTGCAATTGCCACCATGTTCCAATGCCATATCAAAAAATCCATTGTCGACCTTGGCAGGACCAGTGCCGCCTGCCGCCCTACTCCCGCCTTATCTCGTCCCCATCATCCTCCCGCCATGTCTCGTCCCTATCCTCCCCTCCTCCATTCTCTGGCAGCTGAGAGCCATCGACTGGACACCTATCGTTTTGGAACCATCCTCACGTCATTAATATTTTCGAATACCGCTTGGCAGCATCCTAACATGAAACCTGTCTATTTAGTATTTTGCCCTATTTAATATCTCTATGCTATCTTCTTTCTTTCCCTCCTTTACTACCTTTCCCTCCTCCCTTTGCGCTGTTCCTTGTTTTCACGGGTCCTTTGCCTCTCCCCCGAATCTTACCCGTTCCTCGCTGTCGCTTATCTTTGAGCATGCGCTTGTCAACCCGCAGTTTTCCCTTGCCTGCGTTTGCTCCTATTTTGCCACTTTTGCCCCTCACAACCACCACCTCCTTCTTTGGTGGCCTCGTCTGAACCTTCTTGTACAGCTTGTCAATCATCTGCACATGCAACAGAGGAACACCAAGCTACTAGTCAACAAACATGCGAAGCAAGAGAGAGAGAGAGAGAGAGAGAGAGAGAGAGAGAGAGAGAGAGAGAGAGAGTCTCCGGCACATGTGTGTGTGTGCAAGCGCACGTATGCATTGTGTGGGTGGGTGGGGAAGGCCCGGAAGGGTGCCGGGGGGGTGTGGGGGGGGGGACAGTGTCCTCCATCTGGTCCATCATAATTCCATCCTTGTCATGAGGAGCAGAAAAGGCACACTGGAAACCACATAGCAAAGCCGGCGGATGTGGTGGCCCCCAAACTGCCAGAAACCCCTTTGCACCGCTGCGAACTACTAACACCCCTCCTAAAAGCCAGTAAGATGCATGCCTACCCCGCCTTCCACCCCCACAATACCCATCCTCCCGGGACACACATGCAAATTTCGCATGTGGAGCTCCGAGTTCACACCACACTGGTGGGCCATACTACCCGAAAATGGGAGGATAATTTTCATTTTGAAAATGCACGGAGACCAAATATGTGACATAGCACTACAGACCCATCTTTGGTGAGTTCACAAAATCCAAGCATCATTTCTCCCGAATCCTTTGAGACTTTTTTTTTTCTTTATGCCCTTCCTGCCTTACAAAACAACTCCCGGCAACGCCAACCCCCCAGTGGCCCACCAGTTATTTGAAATCGATTGGGGGGGAGGTCCTTTTATGCATGCTTCCTCCCTACTGGCGTGCAAAGGTGCAAGTCAATTCTCCGTCAACATTGCCATCTGGGGGTGTGTCGTAGTACAACACTCCCATGTTCTGTGAATTGATCCTCTCTTCCCAGCATGACCAACCTTGGATTGCAGACATCAAGCCATCTCTGAGAAGGCCTACTGCTCAGGGTGATTCTGAGCTGCCATTGTTTTTTTTTTGTTTTGTTTTCTCTTCTCTATACTACTAAAGGAAGAAGTGGTCCTCGCGTGGGGCCCAAGAGAAACGGGGCGCAGCCGCGCAGGACCGCTCTCGGGCAGCGGGCAAGGGGGAACCGACGGTGTGCGACCCTGGGGCCAAGATCGGAGCTCGATACAGGGCGGCCCGGAGCCGGGAAGTGCCCTCCGTCAAAAAGGGCGACCCCCGGGCCGAGAAAGGAGGTACATACATTCCCGGCGTTTTTCTTTATAAGCGGCCGGCGGCGTTTTTCCAGAAGGGTCGCGAGCGGGCTTCTCGGGATGGGAACCGATCGCACAAAGGCAGAATGCATTGCTGGTGGGTTTTTTTTTTTGTGACACCGGCCGCATTTTTCCAGAAGGGTCGGGAGCCGCCTTCTTCGGATCGGAACCCATCGTGCGAAGGCGGCAGAATGCATTGCTGTTGTTGTTTTTTTTTGTGACATCGCGACTGCTTTTTTGGAGACGTGTGGGCGGCTGTGCTTCCTGTCTTCAGACACACGCAGCGTTGGGCGGCTGTGCTTCCTGTCTTCGGACACACACAGCGTTGTGTGTGTGTGTGTGTGTGTGTGTGTGTGTGTGTGTGAGAGAGAGAGAGAGAGAGAGAGAGAGAGAGAGAGAGAGAGAGAGAGAGAGAGAGA